CATTTGCCGTTGATCAATCCCTTTTTGGGATGCGGCACGCATTCTACTTCCATTTGTACATTCGTAGTGGCGTTTGAATGCGATGTGGCCTATACAATGACTTGCGGGGGCCAGCCGATGTACAAGTCAGTGTTTTTATCCTCCCAGACAAGTCTGGTACCAATTAACCGACCCCGGAGGGATGGAAGGCTTGGTTGGCCCGGGCGACTCACGACCCAGGATTTGATCCCCGGACCGCTCGCGAGCGTGCCACTTGCCACTACACCACTTCCGCCCACATCCTCTGATACTCGCTCTTTTTCTGATGAGTTGGTACGTCTTTTCCTATCAATTTCAAGGTCTACAGAATAACTCACTAAGCATGCCGCAATGCATTTCGCCAGATGCGAAGAAATTATGGAGACGAGGAGAAACGCGGGCAAGGTCGGAGAACGAGCCACAAGTCTTCACCTTCTTCTCAGCTAATCTGAAAGCAGGATCAATTCAACATTTGGGAATGGGAAAAATTCGTTATAACATCAATTTTATAGATGAGCTACTCAACGTATTCCAAATAAAAATATAACAAACTCGATCAAAACAGCAGCCACGTAGTCGTACTGATCGATAAGCTGATCCATATTGTGTCGCTTATTCTTCACGACAGCGAATACTTGAGAACATCTGAAATCACATTTGCTGGGCATTGATTGACCTGAGCTACAATCTTAATTAAAATATGGGAGCAATACTAAATAGACCAGTTAGCTCCCCACGCTGTTGCGCGCACAATACATTTCTGCGGCATATGGAAGGGTGCGACTGTCATGCGATTTTGCGATGACCGTTGGACCAGAGCGGTTACCGACTGGATCCCTCGGGACGTCAACGAACACCTGGACGACCGCCGGCCCGATGGTCAGACTTCTTCACGAAAGCTCTGAACGAAAGGAATGAAGGACTTCGTGTCCCTCGAGCGAGGAGGATCCACTGGACCACTCTAGCACGCGACAGGGACGAATGGAGACGTTGCTGGCGCCCGCTCGAGCAAATCGATGATCAACGGGACGACAGGTGATACAGGTGATCATGGAAGGGTGCGGCAAAATTCTCAAATTCAGTCCGACACACCACAAATATTGTACTTGCCCTTCCGTGCTCAATTCTCATATCCATCTTCTTCTGGCCTCTGTAATTTGCTACCGAAATCTTCACTCGGTGAGCTGAACTTTCCCTCCTTCATTTCAGGACATGCCCCCGCCCCCCCCCCCCACCCATTGTGGGTGGAGCACGCCACGCATGCTAGGAACGCATAGACATTCCTTCCCTCCATTTTTTGTTGCTCCATCATCCAGCAACGCTTTTTTTTGGGAAACCGCGCCCACCGAGGGTGGGTCCCCTTGATTCGATTTGGCTAAACGAAGCACACCACGCATTTTCCACCGGTCCCCGCGCCGTTTTCGAATCAAGTTTGAAATTTTCGTCGTCAATTCTACTCATTTCGATGCCCGCCTCGCGCACTGTGGGTGGGGCTACGTTTGACTGATGACTGGTGTGTTTTTTACTTCTCGAGGGCCCACCCATCCCACACATCACACGACCTTTTCAAATGGATCTCCAGAAACTAGACACCCTGACAAGGTGACGGAATTACAGAACGCCAGACGAAGCGCTTTATAGTAAGTAGAATATGCGCGAAGACCTCAGCGTGCGGACCGACACGCATTTCGCAGCGAAGGATATCTCCCGGCGATCTAGCATGGCCGTCCCCGCGCCGCTACCGCCCGCCCACTCCACGTCGTCTGGCCCTAGCCGCCTAGCGGAGATGCTCTCAACGTTGATGAGGTCAGCGCCAATGGGACAGGCCTAATGCGCAAATCAAGGCGAAAGGGTCTTCTCATTCTTGGGTTCGTTGTTTTTCTTTTTTTTTCCTTAATCTTGCATCACTGACCACCTCTACCATGATTTCTAGTCTGCATTTTCATCGCAAACTCTGCCTTTAAAGAAATCGTACTTGAAGGAGGAAATATGGAGATAAAGCAAGAAAAAAGAAAGATAGAGGAAGAGAGAAGACCAAGGAACGAAGAAAAAACTCAAGTACAAAAATCAGTAATTCCAACCTCTCCTGTCGGATACTTTTCTGCCATGGACCAGTTCTGTAGACAGCAATTGACTGCCATATACACTGATGGGGATATTTACAGATGAGATCAGCTAAGATTGTCTGAAAGCGGCATTTTCATAAATGAAACACATATTTTACTTAAAAACAGCGCCTACAAAAGAATTGAAGCAGTAGAGAAAATACAGTGGAGATCAACTCAGTTCAGATACCTTTAGAGTTGAAAAGACTGACGCGTTGGGATGCACTATACGAGAGATCAATTGGGGGAATGCCGTATAAAACGCATAAGAATCAAGTTGTCGAAATGCACGAGAAATCTCCGTATTCATCTGAAATCCTTGATAATCAATTCAGAAATGTGTAGGAATCTGTTTTACCCTGGCCGGGATAGCAGTACGTTTTATTAGGCATACGTTTCGGCCTCTTCGCTTTCGTCAGAAGCCTAAAAATCGAAAAGCAATTGAGACCGATCCTTTCATGGGCCAAGACAATTCTGAAGACAATTTTTCCAGAATACTAAACCAACAGCCGGTATTGATTTATCCATGAGTGCTACAAGGTTACCTGGATCATTGTGGTCGAGGCGAAGATACAGCTAAGCCTTGAAGCACTCTTGTATCAATCGATACCGGCTTTTGGTTTACTATTCTGGAAAAATTGTCTTCAGAGCTGTTTGACCCATGAAAGAATCGATCTCAATTGCTTTTCGATTTTTTGGTGTCGGGTTGCGAAGGACGAATAGTGAGGTCAGAAGTAAGCTAATAGAAATAGATTTTCTTAGTTAAACAAATTCAGGGCGGAAGTGGTGTAGTGGACAAGTGGCGCGCTTACCACGCGAGCGGTCCGGGGATCAAATCCTGGGTCGTGAGTCGCCCGGGCCAACCAAGCCTTCCATCCCTCCGGGGTCGGTTAATTGGTACCAGACTTGTCTGGGAGGATAAAAACACTGACTTGTACATCGGCTGGCCCCCGCAAGTCATTGTATAGGCCACATCGCATTCAAACGCCACTACGAATGTACAAATGGAAGTAGAATGCGTGCCGCATCCCAAAAGGGATTGATCAACGGCAAATGCTTTATCCTTTATCCTTTACAACAAAATCCTGGCATAAAATACTGTGTGAAGATCAACAGAAAGTCATTCTTGGACTTACTCTGAAATAATGACTTTTCTAGAAAGCTGCTACACTTCGGAAACTTTTTTTCACAGGCGAATCAAAACTCTTTGCTCCCTCTGGCGTTCCATTAATAATGTGTTCACGGAGCTTTCGGTGGAAGGTATTTCTATTACGGCTAGTTAACATTTCGCCACTTCAAAGGCTACTTGAATCAAACAATCCTTCGACTACCGCACACTACGAATTACAGGGCCTTCGCTTGAGCCGTTGCAACCAAACGTCCGGGCTCAATCAGGAGAAACATTATTCATCTTGCCATAGTACTCTACTGGTTCTCAGAGCAGCAAAAGGTTCTTCTGATCGGCTGTAAGGGATTATGAGCGCAATTTCAATACTTTCAAGACCGAAGTTAGCGTGAGCTGGCAACCACGCTAGATTGCACTTGACAGGGGGTTATCGAGCATTCGTCTAGGGAAATATTTTCACATTTGGCATTCCAAGAACTGTACTGCTCTAATAACACGAAGCTAATGGTTGCTGCTGAGCCTTTTCTTCATCGATAAGCATCGTCGGGATTTTTCAGCAACACCTAGTGATTCGTGACTGTAACTGAGACTTCATATAAACCTTTACGGTACGATGCCGGGTTCAGCTAAGAGGGAAGAGGCACGCAGGATCAAATGCAGATCTTCATAAAAATTTTCTTCAGAACTTTTGACGAGCTGGGAAAATAGTGCTCTGGAATAGGCTACTAAATACCTGCCAAACCTTCGCCTGGCTGCATGGCTTCCCAGTGCACCCAATACTCATCAACCTTGTGCATAAATTTCTCAACTCAAAAACGCGCACAATATTTTCAGCGGATTACATGTCAAAAGATAGCGGACTATAATTGAGAAATACTGCTGAGCACAGCTTAATCGTTGGACTTCGTGGCTTCTGACTGGTACTTATACTTGTGGCGCAGAAGCGTCGTCGTTAGGATGAAAAGTTGAGTACCGGCCGATGTCATCTCAGAAATATGATAGACCGCTTTTTCCTCTAGCAGTGATTTTAGAGAATTTCAAGATTCTGGAGAAGTTGAATCGAGGAGCAGCCAAAAGAGGGTACTTTTTCTAGTAACCAGGGTCAACCGTCCGTTCGCACTATTCTAACGAGGGGTAGCACTTGTGATTTCTGGAGCTTGAGCAGGTTATCATAGTGAAAACGGAGGTTGTAAAAGGGGTTGTGTTTGGACGTTTTTTTTAAGAATTTGATTAGAAATAGCCATGGGTGAGGGTGGTGGTGAAGGGGGATAGGGGGGGAAGGTAGCATTGGGCATCCAAAACTGATGGTTGTGGTGGGGGTCGCATCGAAACCACCCCAAAAGAGAGGGTCGCATTTTTCAGTGAACAAATACACAATCACGAATTTTAAACGACACGTCGCAATCGGACAAGCCATTACATTGCAGACACTGAAATATGTACATCTTTCTAGATTCTGCCTACTTTCACCTACTTGTGCAATGTCGTTGTTGTCCCTGTTGTTCATTTCACTGGCGCGCGCATCTGATCCTCGGTTTTGAATCGCCTCAGTCTAAAATGAAATTCATATAATAAAACTGATCACATGCCTAAAATAGGTTCCTTTTGTCCTCCGTGAATAAGCCACCTCTCCACTCTGACCTATGCCAGTAGTAATTAATTAGTAGTAGTTAAATATTATGGGAAGCAGAATTGACCGCGCCGTGCGGTCGATTGCAGAGATACGACCTCTCCATATTGGCCGGATGTAAAATAGGACGGATACATATTAACCGTTTGACGACCTCCCCTGTGCGTGCGTCACTTCAACTCTTTTCAAATTTTTCTTACCATCTGAATTTCCATCAACGTAATTATACGTAATTACACTGGTGTGCAAAACTTAAGGACCGAAGTAACTTTCACATGATATCTCACTGCTAGTTAACCTAGGTGGACCAAATTTGGCACATATATAGAAGTAAATGTTGCGGTACAGTGCAGAGAGTTACTAAC